GTGTGTGTGTGTGTGAATGAGCGGTACTTAGAAAACAGCAGAACACAAGGGTACTGACCTCAAAGTTCTCAAAGCCAAAGATGTCAAGGATGCCGATGGATTTAAAGTTTTCCTTCCCTTTGATCTTCTGATTGATCTTGAGGATGATCCAGGAGAAACACTGGGAATATAATGCCATGGCAACAGAGTCCCGGGAATCCACGGCCTGTAACGATGAGAAGGAAACCCAAGGGGTGTTAGGGTGTGAGTGTGTCAGAGATCGATCAAGACGGGGAGAATAAATGTGTAAGTGTGTTTGCTGACCTGCTCTATAGTGAGTGGGGAGCAGATTTCCTCTCCTCTGAGGATTATGGAGCGCTGAGTCAGTACTTCAGACAGCTGGAAGGCGTCCAGGCCCAACAGTTCACTGGCATTAGTGACCACTGAAAGATGGACAAAGATGTGTTACACTTCCGCAACGCATCTATCTAGGTTTCACTTTTACTAACTCACTTTACATGTGATCGGTTCACCTTGCTTGGTGGTGATCTGGGCTCCTCCTGCAGTCATGAACTCGATGTTTCCCAGCTGTAAGACTCCTGACAGCAGCTTAAACATGTCTCTGATCTCCTCCTCTGTGAACTCTAACACCTTCAGTGCCTCCTACACATAGAAAAGCACAGGAAAAGAGATTACCAGCAGACAAGGTGCTTATAACACTTTCTTTGCAAGCAAAGGTTCAGTCATCAATATATATTTCAGTGACGGAGACGATAAAAGGAACATAGTATGGTCGCTGACTCTGCATCAATGTGCTTACAGAGGTTTGATAAATGGTGTTTTGAATTTCAAATGCAAAAATTTCTCTGAGGCGGAGCTGCTCTCCAGGCAGATAGTATTTTAACATCAAGATGCAATGCAAGGATTCCCTGTATTCCAAAGACTAACTCCAAAGGAGTGCAAACCATTAAACCTATAGGGACATCATTTATATCAATTATGCAATGCTACGCTATGGTTTTAGAAGTTGTGTTTAAAGCAATATGAATACATTTTAGTTTAAAGGTTTCTGCTATCAAACTCTGATCTACAATGACAAAGTAAACTAAATATATGACAAAGACTGGACATGGACAAAAGACCAGCAGAGTAAATGCAGTGACACTAACCATAACACTGTTAAACAGTTCTTTGTCATTCAGGCTCTTGTCCTTCAGACATCCTGATTGGCTGAGATAGTGGAAAGCTTCAGGCGATTCCTCCAGGAAGTAGAGGCCTGAAAGAGGAAATATACACATAAGGTCAGTGTGATATTGGGAGAGATGCACATTGAGATGCAAAATACAAAGACACTTTTAAAAGCATTATTGATATTTGAACGTTTTTATGCTTTTTCTCACTTTTATTCTCCTTGTTAGTTCCCGCCAGTAGAGCGTAGAAGATGTGGTAGTTTCGTTCTCCAGGGTTTTGTCGCACCACTCGGTTCTACAGCAAAATCAATGCAGCAAAGCCACTATTAACATTTAATCGTAATTCACCATTCAAAACTGACAAATCACTCTATGAATTTGAACTTGATACGACCAGGCTGCATATGTGGAGTTGTTTACCTTTTCCAGTAAATCTGAACAGTAGAGAGTCAAGGAAACAAACCTGAGTACTTCACAAATATCCTTTAGTGCAGATTTTAATTCAATAAAAGCACATACAATAATATCATAATAAAAGCACAAATAAATTCCGAAAAGTTGATACAAATATACTGGTATATAAACATAAGGATACAGTCAAAGACGCAGCCTCCCTGGATGTTGCCGCCCTCAGAGAAGTGAAGTTGGATGAATTTCCCAAAGCGACTGGAGTTGTTGTTGTAAACAGTTTTAGCATTACCAAACGCTTCCATGATCGGACTGCAGAGAGAGTGAAAACCTGAAGTGCATCTTGTTTTGTCTGCAATTATCGGTGCATGCAATAAATAATACAGTACATCCACCCCGTGCTGCAGAGGTCATTCATCATATTTTTCTCCAAAACCTTTACATGTCTATGGAGGGAGCATGCCCTGCTTCATATTACACACATCCATAATTAAATTATTACCGCTATGTTTTTAATAGACCTGATTTCAGAGATGTTATGTTATTTAAATGGATAGCATTATAGCTAGTAAAGTAAAGTAAAAATGTAGGACATTTGATGGTACCAGCCTCTCGAACATGAATTTTTGCTGCTTTTCTCAGTTTTAT